CCTAAGATAAGAAGCTTCTATAATGTAGGGGGAAAAAGCAGCAGTATTATTGTTAATGCTGAGTGTGATTACTTCAAACTCCGCTCTAATTAGCTCGCTTACTTATCTCCATTGTGATTCTATTAGCCCTTTCGAATAAAGGCCACAGCGAGACAACTGTTGGTTAATTTCTTTAGTAGCTAAGAGCTGCAGATGAAACTCCCAGATTGCTTCGTGGCCCCTTTAAGATGATATTTAAGTCGACTGTTGAAGCGTCTTGACTGCAGGATGTGGTGCAGACAGTCCTGCCCCTCTTACTTAACGGAAGCTAAACCATCGCTGACGTCGTCTGAGGCTCCTCCAAGAGAACAGAATTCCTCATTAGGGTTGAACGGTGGAAAGCTTTCAGACAAACAAAACAGATGGATGTTTGATTAAAGACACCGTCCTTTAATGCTGCCTAATTGTTCGTTTGAAGTCCAGACAGCAGGCTGAGTTTCTTCTTTTAATGAATATTAGAATAAACTCTAATCAGCTGCCAACCTGAATTGTTGAATTCATTACGCGGGTGAGACTCACATTTAAAGGCACAAATCACGCCTCGTCATCGTGAATAGCGCGTTTACCTGCATTCACCTGCACACAATCGCGCGGCTTACACTCCATTGTGAGTCCTCGCACACCCACGTCGGGTTCACACGCGGCGGCGGCGTACGTGCACACGAGCAGCTCCGGCCCCGGTCATCAAAGAAAGCTGCATCGCTCTCGGGCTGTTTGTTTGTTAGTCTTTCATTCTGCTTCCCCCCCTCCAGCTCCACACACACACACACATTCAAATGTCTCACACAAATGCAGACATCTCCGGTCGTGACAGAATCTGTGGTGAATCGCAGTTTGCCAGCCTTTCATTTCTGCAGCAAATCAATTGGGCTTTGCAGAACTCAGCATTTGATAGCGGCTCAGAAGGTAACTGATTATTGAATCGTGACATACTGTATTGAGGGTTGTTTGCGGCTCCACTGCGATTGCTTCGCTAAGGTGGCCGATGAGAAACAGCTCAACCGTGGCTCTCTCTATTGCTTTTGTTCTGAACTGTGAACCCTTTGTTGCTAAGGGGGAAAAAAAACTGCATTTGTTTTTTTTGTTTTTTACAGCGACTTGGGATTTTTGCTCTGTCACCGCATATGGATGAGCTTTTTTTTTACAGTAGAGATTTTAAGAGGATCTGATTAAATGGCTTGTCACCGAGGAGCCTTGTTGAAAGCGTATTTAGCCAACCTCAAGTGCTTGATGTGTGACCACTCTTAGCATGATGCCTAATTTAGTTGCCTCTCTGCGCTGTCATTTTATTTTCCCCTCACTGTAATAGACGGAGCACTACATGGTTTTTTAATGTTCTCGCTCACCAGCCCGTCGAAAGCCCGTCTCTCCGACCCGCAAGTGACGGACGGACATCTTTAGCGTCCTTATTGTTGAAAAAGCTGATTCAATATTATCGCCGTAGTGTTTGGTAGCTACTTAACCCGGGTCCATTCAGAGCCGCTGATGAGGCCGATCGAGGGGAAGGCGGCAGGAAGCGGCTAATTGTCGTGAAATGCGATACCTTTCTACAGCCTCTGTATAAAGGGAGTCCGGACAATAGAACCGAGAGAGCCGGTGTGCGTTCACGGTCCGTGACCTCGAAGTCTGCTGACCCGATCAAAAGGACGCGAGCGAAGGCGGAGATAACGAACCATAAAGACAAACACCTCGGGCGGGCCAGAGACGGGGCCGCGCTTCTCAATGACAGCCGCGGCCGTTTGCGTTTATTGCTTGATCAGCTGCCTCTCTTGACAGCTCCCCGGAGTTTTTGAGTTCAGCCATGTGAGTTGAGGAACACCCCAACACCACCACCTCCACCTCCACCGCCTCTGTTTTGTATTCCACATGCCAAAATAGACCTCAAGCTCCAGCTATATCTTACCTGTTTGGACCTGCTGGGATTCCCTGTCCTCATAATTTTGTTTGGACTTGATGGATGATGGCTGAAATATAGCGCTGTCAAATATTCCTGGTATTTATCTCCCCCCCCCCCCCACACTCACACACACATACATCCAGGTTTGTTTGGCACTAGAGACTGTATTTTTCATGTGCTTTGAATTGCTTTGCAGCATCTGGGAGAGTTTTTTATTTTTTTTCTTTCATTCTTTTGGTGGTCTACAGTCATTCTGCCCTTTTTTTTTTTTTTATGGTGTCTGCATTATTGCTTCTTTCTCTTCTCTCCCTCACCACAGCTTGAATGGCTCCCTGCCCAGCAATGTGGAGATCAGGAACAACACCCTGTTCTTTAAGGGCCCGGTGACCTACGACCTGGCGGGGACGTACGTCTGCGACGCCACCAACGGCATCGGGACTCGCACGGGCATCGTGGACGTCAACATCACGGGTAGGTTGATTTAAAAACCCATTTCCGCTCTCTCTCTCTCTCTCTCTCTCTTTATCTCTCCAGTAACTCCGGCATGGCTTCATCAATACAGTAGCCCCTCAAGAAATATTCGTCAACCCCCTCCTCCTGCCCAAATAAACTCGTCGCACATGCACAGACCGGCTGCGTTTTTCAATCCCACTTGTTTCGGCTGCGTGGCACCCTGCTGCACACTGTGGCAGGTTAGATTAGAAAAAAAAAACAGAAAAAGCCTCTTGTGTTTGTGTGTCAGAGCTCCTGCGAGAACAACCGCCCCCTCCCACCCTGCCCTGTTACACATCCAAGCGCATGTGTGGGAGCCATATCAAGCAGGTCTATTATCAGCGCCTAAAATAACATCAATGAAATCGGAGGAGGAGGAGGGGTGGAGTTTGAGGTGGGGGTACTGTATTGATCATAGTTTGTTCTCATCACGCTCGCATTTCTCCGAACAGCCTCTTTTTTTTCGCTGTTGAACTCGGTGTTCGTTCTTTTGTCTCCTTCTTCTTCTTCTTCTTCTGTCTTCTGGGGGGGGGAAACAAAATGCTGAACAAAACTGATTCAGTTTCCCTGCCTTCCACATAATTGTTGGCACACACGCACTGTGGTTCCTCTGGGTTCTCATCCATAGGAGACAGTATTTTTGCACTCAAAGCCCCCCCCTCCTAAGCTGCAATATACACCAGACCTGACTACATGCTACAAATGTGAGCCTCTTCCTCTATTGGTACCAGCTGTGCGTGTGGTATCGGGAGACTGTCGCAGTTTTGCTCTGGTCGGACTGGAAAGACTTTTTTTTTTCTTCCCCCCCATCACCCCACCTTTTGCTCTCTGCGCTGCCTCGGTTTCTGGGAAGCTGCGGTGTTCTAACTTGCACTGCTTTGCATGTTGACTCATGTCTCTGGAAAACGCTTGGTGTGAAGTGAACAGCTGTGCCTTACAGTATCATCGCATACCTTTCTCTCTTCTGTTTCCTGTCTTTCAGTGTAAAGACAAAAGCAGCTTTGTAGGATGTGATAATTACCTGCATTGTGAGAAGTTGTCCATCAAGCAGGTGGAGAGGGGAGGGGGGTGATAATAGAAATCCCAAAGGAGCATGTGCAGGCCTTATGCACCAAACAGGGATGTGAACCTGCTGTCGGTGAATCACCACCGACCAGCTTGTAGCCGTGTTGGCATATAGCGCCGTTCCCCTTTTGGAAAAACAAAAACAAAGGCACCAAAGTAATTTTCTATTTCTGCTTTTTCATTGATTGCTTAAATTAACAAACCACGCCGCTGTCGTCCCAGTGGTCTTTCTGTTTATTCTCATCATTTGTTCGTATAATTTTATTGAGTGAGCGAGGTGATGCAATGCGTGGGCACATGATTTGAGTGCGTTTGGGTTTGTCTGCACACATGATTTGAATCTGAGCATTTTGTTTGTGTGTGTGTGTGTGTGTTTTCGTAACATTTAGAGGTTTGCAGATTGCTTGGTGGCGGGTTAAAGGAAACGTAATGACTCTCAGCAGGAGATCTTTGTTCCTTTTTCTGTCGCTCTGCACGTTTGCCGTTATAAATACACGTAGCCGTTGCATAATATAGAATACACGGGCCTATAATTATGCATTAAAGTAATGCATTTCCTTTTCTCTTCCTGACAGTTTGATTGTTGCTTTTCCGTCCACTGAAAGAATCCATCCTTGATATTCGGAGTCACACCAACCATCAAAACACAGCCTGAATATTAAACGCCGCGCAGCGCTCGGTGGTCTGTTTGTATTCTCAGTAGTAATAAGCCGACTGAGCTACAAGCTCCAGGTGTTGTTCTATACTGTTTTATGGCAAATGTCCTGGATTTCTGTTAAGGATACATTCCCAAAGGGTGCCGTGCCGAGTCTTAAAAGCATGTTGCCAGTTCCCATAGTAACAGTGACAAGTTAAAGGGAGAACAGCCAGCCTCTGCTCCTAAAGCGCAGCTCGGCTCCGGCGTGGCGCCCCGTCGAATCGCGGAGCGCCTCGCAAATGGCTGCAGTTGATTTGGCGATTAGGCGCTTTAGGACGCGAGCGAACGGGAACCGAGCCGCCCCTGCGTGTCGCGCAGGTGCAACACGGACACGTTACTTATGTGGCTCTTTGCTGATGTGGTGAAACCCGATCACATCTTAATGTGTGGCGTCAGCATCCGCTCGCTCACCGCCGCGCATATGCAAAGGAGATATCCCAGTTCAGAAGCCATTAGATCGGCTCGCGGGTCGAGTTTGCATCGGTTAAGTTGCTGTTAGAGGTGAGCTTCAGGGTGGGACACGCTAATATCCTGCACATTTTTTTTATTTTTCCGTGCAGCCTTGACATTGGCTGTGCATAATGACCCAGTGGCGGAGGTATAAGAAGTGTGCTGATGCTTCATTAACTTCAAAGAGCATCTTTGTGCCTCCCTACAGCTTCAGAAAGAGGCCTGACTGAGACGTGGCAGGTGAGAGAGCCCCGCTGCTGGCTGCCGTTCAAGGCTGCAGCACCGGGCCCGAGCGCCGCCGGCTCACTGTCGTCTGCAGAAAAACAAAAGGAGGCGGCAGCTTCGAAACATTTGTTCATCCGGACCTGACGATATCTCGATTAGCGAGAAACACGAACTAACCGCTTCCGTTCCTTGTTGATTTTAATGGCGTCTGGACTCGGAGGCTCTCAGGAAAGTTGGGTGTTAGTCGAGTCAATAATTCAGCTGATCTTTTCAGCCTGCAGTAAACTGTATCAGAGCGATGACAAATATGACAGATAAGCAATGTATCGGCTCTCCCCTGCCGCCATTGTACGCAGCTTTGTCACCATCAAGGCCGGGATTTATTCAAATGCACTACTACCAGTTGCATTATGCATGGATTTGGCGGTGGTGCTTTTTTGTTTTCATTTTGAAGTTAATTTTTTAGATTGACACAGCAATATACACCTGCCGGGTAGACGGCCCTGCTTCCAGCGTCAGGGAAGATAAAATGTCCGTGACAACTTGTTTGTATCACAGAAAAGCTATTTTCTCACACTGGGATGCAACACTGATGGAGCACTTAAGGAAAGCGTATTTTAATCAAGCTCCTCAGTTTTCATGGACAGATTTGTGGGAGCTGCATAACTGTCACCTCGGCTAGATAGCGAGGGGCCACGGAGCACCTTGTTTCAATTAGTTTGGGAATAGTGTTTGCTGTGGAGATGGCATCGACTACGGCGAGGCGCACGGGCTAAAGCGGCTTTCTCCAAGGACATGTGTTCTGCAGATATGGTGTCACTTGTCAGAATCTAATGAACCACTCTCCTGTTTTAATCAATCCTCGCTCCCAGAAAAAGAGGTGGAAGAGGAAGTCTGCGGAAAGGGGAGGGGATCCGTAGCAAAGAGAGACGAGCTCGGTTTCCTCTCAGCAGATACCTCACTCATTTACATGCAGTTCAGAAATCTTCTGAGGGAAACTTGACAAGTCGTCAGATCTGATTAATCAGCTAATTACTAACAGAGGCCACGATAAAAAACAGAGACAATTAAACGGCCTCGCATTGAGAGTTATTTTTTTGAGCTTTTATCCGTCTAATAGGAATGCCAGTCAAACAGTCGGTCCTGTAAAGTACGGCAGCCGCAGGAAGAGCTGGGCTGAATAATGTGGTTAAACCTCAACTTAACAGCAAAAAATCAGCCTGTCATTAGGATAATCAGCATCGCAGCGTGTTTTTTCGAAACAAATCAATGCTACCATCTTAAACGTCGTGATGAATGGCCGTTTTGTCAGGACGGCCTTACAATTATGTCATTATCACCCCTGAGAAAGCACAAGTGTGGTTTCATTCTTGGCAGTTCGCAGCGATGTGACACATGGGAAAATTTTCCCTCTGCGAAGACGACAGAGCGCATTTGTTTACCCGCTTTAACCTTGACTCTCCCACAGAACGCTCCGTGCGAGATAGCGGCCGGCCCGAGTCAAAGACAATGCATAATTCCTGGCACATTAGCGGGATCAGCTGCGAAAGGATGATATCAGATCAGCTAGCGGGTCAGCTAGTGTGTGAACCTTTTCCACGATTCCGCTTGCGGCTCAGCGGCGCTAACTTTCATCCTCCTTTGTCAGAGCCGTGGCTGCTTTGGAGAGCAGAGGTGCAGTCAGCTTTGCTACAGGGGGCTTTACCACTCGGGTTAAACTGGATGGAGTGAGAGCGTTCTCTTCAATTTAGCAAGAAACCGTGAGGATGGATCCTTCTGTAAGCACAGGCAACCGGTGCCGACATCTGTTCACGCTCGCCTGAACAAGCAATAGTTGGCTCCCATGTGGGGAAAATGAAGTTTAGAGAGAAAGAGGCAGGGGAGGGGAATTTTTAATCGCGTGGTGAAAATGAGGTGAATGGAACACTGACAAGTCCGCTGGAGATATAAATAAATAAACATGTGACTGGAGGAGATGCTTCAGTGGCTCTGAATTTTTTGGAGTTTAGTTGAATAAGTAAAGTGGATTCCAGAAATGAGCTCCCGGCCAAACAGCATCTGGGAGCAGAGCGGAGAGCAAAGAGGTGGAGGAGAGGCCAGGAGGCTGTTTACACGACTCCATGTATAACAGCCTGCGTCGACTGCTGCTGTTCACCGGTTGTCACTTTCTCCCGTCCTCCCGAGTCTTGAGGTGGGACGACAGTGAGGCGAAGTGGCGGCGAGATGAGGCGACGTGCTTAAAAACAGCATTTATGTGGAGGGGTTTGCTTTTTTGCTGTTTGTTTACCAATCGCACTCTAATTTTATTGGCTCCGTGAAACCGATGGAAGCAAACGAGGCCATTCTCGAGAACATTAACTATATCTATATAATGATTCCTAATGTTTGCCACCAGGTTGGCAGGAAGGCGGCGGTGGGTACTTGGCAGTGGCAGAGGGAGCTTTCTCAGCATAAACATAAATCACTGAGCAGAAGATGTTACTCTGAGCTGAAATTAGATGTTATAATTGCCCTAAAAACTCATTACAGCGCCAACCCAATG